CTGACCTCCAAAAACATGGCATGACACGGGTGTACTTATATACACGCAGGTAATACATTCACACACAAAAACCAAAATAATAGATTAATTTTTTAAAAACAAGCTGGGTGTGGTGGTGAGGTGGTGCACACTTTTAATCCCAGCACTTGGGAGGCGGAGGCAGGTGGAGGCAGAGGCAGGCGGATCTCTGAGTTCAAGGCCAGCCTGGTCTACATAGAGAGTTCCAGGCCAGGGAGAAAATAAAGAGGGAAAAAGATAAACTCGGGGGATCCAGCAAGGAGAGCAAAGACACAAATGTAAGAAAATACAAAACAAAAAGCATACAACAAAGAAGTTTCCTAAGCTGAAAAAGACTCAGTCTGCAGACTGACACGGGTTCAGTGACTGCCAGATGGAATGTGGAGGAGAACCCCATTTTCGAAGTCTACAAAGTATGTGCTTGATTAGTGCCTCCAAGGGAGGGTGCAGAAGGCATTCATAAAACAGGAGGAAAGGGAAGTCAATCACAACTGGATCAAAAGGGGAAGACCTCAAGGTCAACCAACAAACACAAAATATGCCGGATGTAATGAAATCAAGTGCAGTGAATCAGTTGTTAAATGAAATACGAACAGATTGAACTCTCCTGTTAGAAGACAAGTAATTAACCTGGGTTTTATGTTTATTTTTGAAAAGAGGTCTTGAAGTGGCTAGGTTGGCTTTGAACTTTTGAGTCTCCTGTTTCAGCATCCCAAATGCTGGGATTACAGGTGTGCACCATCAAGCCCAGTTCATACTGAATTTCTGAAGTGGAAATTTTATGGATCTAGGGACAACGAATGCTTTTCTAATAAAATGTAAAATGGCCTTAATTAACTAGAGAACTGCTATAAAACTGATATAGACTAAGTTCCAAATGATGAGGGAAAAAGCTTTAATAGAAAAGGTCTCTGGTCTGGAGGGTTTCATGAAGAGAAATTATAGAAACCATTAGAATTTTCCTCTGATGTCTCCTCCTTCCTCTAGGAAGCATTCTGAATGCTGCCAACCTATCCTTGGAGAGAGACTGCCTCCATCGTGCCCTCTGCAGCACATTCAGGATGTGCCAACACACCATCTCACAACGGTCCATTTGCTGGCCAGTCTCACCTCCTGGACTGTAGGAAACCAGGATGCCAGGCCCTAGGGTGAGATGAGCCTAAAACTTACAGGTCCAGGCTGCATTCTCTGCCAAAGGTTGGGGCACTGAAAACAGTGGCTCTGATAATCCCTCTCTTGCAGAACACTGCTAGACTGGCAGGAGGAAGCAGCCCGGTCATAAAAGTGCAGGCTCCCTGCTCTGTGGGAAAGCGTCTTGGTCAACAACCCTTAGCTCATCTCCTTGTCCTGAACAAATAACTCAGCTATCCCTGGCTAAGAGATTAGGCCAGGTTAAAGGTTTACTCCTGAGCTAAAAGCTAAAAGTTTTTCCAGGAGGGCTTCTGGTGCCATGGTCATGATTTGTGATGAAGGGGAACTTAGGGGGAAAAAAAAAACACTGTGGCCAATAAATTACTGGCAGGTACTGGTAACCTTGAGTAAAATTTAAGCATTCTTCTGGCCCCAACTAACAGACTAAATGTCCTGTTTCTTTGTACCCTAAATCTTTGTATGTGACTGCCATATCCGACATGACTGCTAGTTCCTTGGGATGTATAAAAACAATCTGAATTTTAAAATAAATTGTCCTGTTGGGAAGACACAGGTCCCAGAGTTTGACTCTGTCGCCGATCAGACCCTCTGCCCCGAAGCCAGTAGGTCCCTGACTAAGCAAAGCAAACCTGAGTCCGGACACTGGACCATAAGCTACCTGAAACCAGGACTGTACTTTTTCATTGCCTTCTGGGTGCCCAGTACAGCATCTGCCATTTGCTGATGGAATGAATATGTGAGCAGGGGACCCCATGGTGAACTCCCACAGGGAAGCAGACAAAGAAACGAGCCCCAAATGCTGGCAGAAATACTGCAGCTTTCCTGTCATACAAATATTTCTAAGACGATCAAACCATTTTATGGGGGAAGGTCTAATCACTCACACATTCAAACATGCCTGAAATTTCTCTCACCAGGTAACAAGGAAGTGGAAGTCTGGGGTCTGGAGGCAGCCCCTGCTGGTCTCTCCACTTTCCAGGACTAGATAGAGACCTGCATGCCTCACAGGAGATCTTTAGCCAGGAACAAAGGAGGCAGGGTGCGCCCCCCCTCATAAGCTGGGTGGGAGGATCCTGTGGGACTGGCCTGGGCAGCAGCTCTGGGAATCCCCTGAACATCACAGACCTTCCTCAATTTTAAAACAGGAGCTTCTTCAATTTAACAAAGCATGCCTATGCCCGGAGCCCTAGGGCTACTCTCCAGATAGCAACCAATGGCCACTGTCCCTTGTTCAGTAGCCCAGACCCAGCTCTGGCATGGAGCCTGTAGTACATTCCTGACCATCAGCTACCCCATCCATGACCATGGACCTTCCTGTACCTCAGGGTCTGGCACTGACCACCCATCCGGGCTGGCATGCAGTACTTGGCCCCTCCTACTACTGGACAGACAACAGAAAGAAATGAATCCAGGGTTCAGATGGAAGGGACAAGAGTGTGCGGTCCTGGAGTCCAGCTTGAAGCCTGGGAGCTGAGGGGACCCAGAATCAGAGGATGAGCAAGGGTCCAGGCCCCTAGGGGCCACCTAGGGACACACTGCAACGGCTCAGTCTGCAGGGGAGAGGGCGGTGGGTGTGAGAATTCTTGGTAGCCAGGTAGGTGAGTTGAGGCTGGAAGGGAGACCTAAGGTCCTGTTCTACCTGAAACCATGACATGGGCAGGGCATTGGGGCCCCTGGATCAGCAGGTGAGTCATGGGGAGGAAAAGGTCAGGTAGGTGTGAAGAAACCGGCTGAGTCACCCAGGGCAGCTGCCCTATGTAGGGATCCAGGAAGCTGGGAGAGGCAAGAGGAGGGGGCTACTGGATCTCCTGGATCTCCTCAACTTGGCCTCCACTCCCTGCTCTTACTAACAATCCCCCCCACCCCCGGCTTTCTAGCTTTCAGGCTTTGCCTGCCCTGAGGTATTTGTCCCAGGAAGTGTACAGGGAAAGGAAGGGACAAGGTGGGAAATCCAGGAGGGAGGTAAGTGAGAAAACTTCTAAGTCCCTTTGTCCCCCAGGACACCTAATCCCCAGGAAGGATCACTCACAATTCCTGGTAGCTGAGGAGGGAGGAACGAAGGCCATGGGGCTTCTTCCAGTCCAGGCTATGCCTGTGCTCAGGTGCAGTGCCTCCAGGGCTGTTTGCATAAGTTGAAGCAGGGACTATAACTCTCTCTTGCCAGCGGCCAATGCCTGGACAGCAGGGTCAGGTCCCAGTCTGATCTATGCCCGGGACCTTCCAGCCTCCAAGGCTGGGGAGGGGACTTTGACCACACTCCGAAATATCCTAACCAGGGAGGCCAGAAACAGGAATGTGGGTGGGGCTGGGGGGATAGTCACAGAGGCTCCTCCTTCTAGAGGGCCCAGTTGGGGGGACTGAATGTAGGGTGTCACACATGCTAGGCATGCAATTTACATACCAGCTCTCCTTTTGCTTCTTTTTTCTTTTTTTTTTTTTTGAGACAGGGTCTCCCTGTAGCCCCAGCTGGCCTGCAACTCACTGTGTAGACCAGGCTGGCCTTGAACTCAACAGAGATCTGACTGCCTCTGCCTCCTGAGTGCTGGGATTAAAGGCATGCACCACCACACCCGGCTCCTTTTGCTTCTTTATTTTGAGACAGAGACTCACTAAGCTGACCAGGCTGGCTTTGTACTGGCCCTGTAGCTTGAGTAACCCTTAAAAATGTGATCTTCCTGCCTCAGCCTCCTCAGCCAGGATTACAGGCCTGGCCTCAAAGGCTGCTTTGTTGTGTGGCCTCTCCTAGTACTGACAGTGGGGTACAGGGCCTTCCTGGCCATAAGATTCTCCTGCTGTGCCCCTGGCTGCAGGCAGCACCGGAGGGAGGTTAACTGTGGCTGGACACGGTGCTGAGGGCAATGTGTACTTGCCATCTGCTCCTACTGTTCTGGTTGAGGGGAACAATGGTCAGCTCTGAAGGCTTCCTCACTAAGACTAACCTTGGCAGCTGGGGCGAGGTTTGGAGTCAGGAGGCCTGATTCTAATTTAGACAACAGTTTCTCTCTCAACCTGTTTGTTTTTAGAGCAAAAGGGTTTAGGGGCCCAGTCGTGTGTGCAGGCCTCTGAGTGAGAGGACACAGGCCTGTTAGCCCCAGGGGCTGTGTCTTACTACACCTTGGGTCTCTGACCAGCACAACCCAGGACACAGTGTGTGCTATTTGAATGAGCTGTGAATGACAAAGCTACAAAATGCCAGATGTGGTACAGGCTTCTCTCTTTTTCTGGAGCGTCTGCTCAGTGGTCTGCCCTAAGCCCTGAGCTGATGTATGACAGGTGGTTGCCCCACCCCCATGTCACCTCCTTATTCACACCCTGGCCCCTGTGGGCCACTCCCTTCTTCCAGGGATCCTATCTCATCATCTACATCCTTTCCGACCCTGGCCTCATCTATTCACTTAG